CCACAGTTTCACAGTTTCATCGCTTCCCTTATTCGTACGATTTCATTCTTTGAACTTATTCACGGTACAAGTTACAACGAATATCAATGTTTCCCCGAGATTCTTTCCACACATTTAACAACACATTCGTTTACCGATACCCGGTAATTATTTTAACAGGGATCGCGCGTCGCGTGTTTCCCAGAGAAAACGATCGCCTTTGTACACATCCTTCGAATTAGAATTAGCGATATCGACGAAATGGGATGGCATTGGATGTGAAACGGTGGTATAGTAAGAATCTCTACTTTACACCGACAATTAATAATTATTTATGGTCTAATAAATAAGAAGGAAATAACAAGAAAGTGCAACTGATGCGGAATTCCGGGTACAGAGGTATTTTAACGGGCAGCGACATCCTATCGCGTCTTGCTCGACAAGAAGCGTGCGTTCTTTAATACATAGGTCCAACCTAGGTTCGTTCGCCTCGTAGAAATAACGACACGCTCGAGTCGTGGTACGGTGTGAACGTTGTCACTTTACTGTACGAGTATTATATTATATTACATGTATATTTGTCGGAAACACACGATTGGTCGTAGTAAAGGAAATTATATTCGATAATGCATAATGATAACAGAGTGCACAATGATAAATGACTATTAGTCTGAGAGCAACGTTTGCTTATGCAATAACGAGCAATAAGTTCTTTCGTTCGTGGGATGATTGCTTCCATCCTGACTAGACTGTCCAATCTAACCAACTAATTTCTTCTGCCTAAGGAAACCATTTAAAACGTGATTATCATTTACGGGTAGATGGATGGATGGAGAGCGAAGGACTGGTTATTTGGCATTACTCGGCAAAATTGGCGCAAGAAATATAGTCGATTTCCAGCTGCGCGAAATGAAAATTCTAAATGAAATACCGTCTCGTTACTTTCACGATAAATTACCATTTATAACTATCCTTGACTGTCATTTATCACCACACATTTTTCCAAATTTTCCATAACTAATTAAAGGATACAAAGGTATAAAAAAGTGAAGATCTCATTTCGTATTTAGTCACGAATTTCGATTACCTCTCGTTGATTGCTAGATATAAAATACAACTTGGGAAAAGCTTCAATTACTCTAAAAGGAGGAGGATCCGCTTTGTCGTCAAAATAGAAGGTCGTGGATGCAAAAGTTCCAACTACATACATATTTCAAGCTTTTCTTTTTATCGGCAATTTAAACGGTCGCACCTTTTCATTTGTGGTCGGCATTGTTCTATTTTATTACTAGACTGGAGATTAAGAAAATGGTTCTCAGTATAGTCAGATAAGTCTGCCGAAATAAAGTTGCAAGGATGTAAGATCGAAATATGGTAGCTGTGCGTTTCAACGTGGTTATTAAATATCGAACACGTCGTTCGAGCTGGAATATTCGAATTAAGCACCGTTCCAAGTTTTTTAGGAGATTGTCGCGTTGCTCGCTTTAGCATTTGAAAAGGAGGGCAGCAAGTGTTCATGACCGTGACGTGCGAGTGGATCGACCGATGTTAATATCGGTAGTGGAACGTGACGATACCAAAACAAGCAGAAAAGAATGAAAAGTAGAAGAAGAGGTGGGGCAGAGGGGTGAGGAACAAGAGAAGGGTAAAAGAGGAATCGAACGAGTTTGCTACATGATTCCGTTTGCGACCCGTTTAACTTAACATTCCTACAAATTACATTATTACACCGATCCATTCTCCCTCGCTTCCCCACCTTTTTTCCTTTTAATTAGCAATTACCAGTGGAGAGATTTCTTGAAAAACATCTATCGGTAAATGGATCAGTTTTGCTCGTAGAGTTTTCTTATTTCACGACGACATTGATACGTTTAACTAGACCAGCTCGAATCGATTAAGGTGAAAGTGTACCGATCGGCGTACCGATAGTCCTTTCCCGATCACGATAACGATAACGACGATGTCGACGATCATGATGACGACGACGATATGCATTAATCGTTCGATCAACATTATATTCGACGGAAAATTCGAATCCGATCGGTTAGCGCAGCTAGAACGGAACTTTGTAACGGAAAGAAGGAAAAACCGATGATACAATAGTTGTTGAAACGGTTCTTTGTCCGTAACATAAAACCAATTACTCGAAGCGTTGAAAAGATTCTTCGAGCACGGTAAATAGAAAGTGGCGAGAATGGGTATCGGCATCAGCATTGCCATTGTCATTTACTTGGAGCGGTTCCTTTTAGCTTCATTTTAGTGGATTTGCTCTGTATACAGATACCTAGTAGGTAGAGAGATAAGATTAATCGAATGGATGGATTTGCAGACGGGTGTACGGCTACCGGAGGGTGCAAGCGCAGCCCTTGCGAAACCGACCAAGTATCACTACTATCCGCACAATCATCCGATTGAACTTTACTCAGCCTCTGTGCGCTTGTCCAGGAAGATACCGCGACCCTTGCAGCGCCTCTCTCGACAGCGACGATCTCCACACTACGGAGCTGGTCACCGACCCTCGAACCAAGGTTAGTCGCCTTACCCTCTCTCCGCTCTTTACTACCATCTCCTTTCCTCTAAACAGTCCACTAGCTGTCAGCTTCTCCTTTTCGTTACACGGCAAATCCAAGCGGACCTAATTACTACGCTTTCTGTCTAAAGCATCCGATATTTTTCAAAGAATCATCATTCTAATATAGTAGATTATTAGTCTGCTAGATTAAAAAGCTGATGTATCGGAGAAATTATTGAAGCGCGTAGAAAGCTAACGTATATGTACGCTTCGTTATGTAGGATTCTGGAACGATCCTAGAGTCGCGTAGGTGTTTGGTCGTGGCGAAAACGAGTTCTCTCTTTCTCCTCGTTACACTTCTTGTACTACACGTCGTGATTGTTTGTCTTAGAAATCAGATGAATGAAGCACGCACACCTATCGTTTTGTCTCGAACCTAAATTAGTAAGAGAACAAGTATCGAATTGCACGAGGAGCGACGATAGAGTTTCAGACGAAAGACTGAATCACGATACACGATAATCGAACATTCCTATTCGTTTTAGGCTCTCACGTTGGTGAAAACATGCGAACCAGTGGCGGAAATGCGCGAGTGTAGGACGCCAAGAGACTGGTCTCTTCTCGCGCTACAAAACGTGCGAACAGGAAAGTCTCATTACCTTGTAATATGCCGCTGCCCTGACTCCAATATTCTGGGTAAGTGGTGGATACATATCTGGTGCCGCCGCGCCGGTTTTTATATGCAGATTTCTCTGTTACGTGTACATATAGAGGGTCCTATGAGTCACGATCAACCGACATACGCCAGTGTGCCAGGGATCCGCGTTTACGGGATGATGTGCGTGCAAGGGAACCGAAGAGGACGGCCGCTGCGGTATACGCGCAGTCTTTCAGGTATTCCCCATAGAAAATTTCTATAAATGCGTGTTTCTTCTACTCGTGAATATCGCCAGTGTCGAGTGAAAACAGTCGATCAACGAGTTTCCTCATTGTTCGCAGATCATTCCCAACGAGAAATCGGCGAGGACTTGGCCATGTACAATGGCAAAGAAGAAACGAGCGAACGATTAAGCTTTCCATGGTACAAAGTGCAACAGCTAATGAACACTGTTGTTTGGGATTAGATACGTTAGCTAATGAAACGTCGAGAATTCTTCGTCGTTGAACCGCGCGACACGCAATCTGCTTAGCTCAACATTCCACTCTTTATTTATTAAGCATCTCGCTTCGCTTTGCTTCGCTTGTTTCCTTTTTCATTTATCAAACCCACCACCTCTTTCTTACATTTATTTATGGACGTTTAATTGTAACTGTGACTAATTGTAACATCGAGTGAAAATCGAGATATCTCGTTTATCCGATGGACGATCGAGTGCAGCAAGCTTCAAAGTAGCTATGTAATTATCGTATCACGCAATACGAATCTCTCTCTCTCTCTCTCTCCTTCTTCGTAATACAATCAAATAAAATAACAGCGAATATTAAGTGCCTAGTACATTATCATACGTATGGTAGGTTAAATATTGCTTTAAAACGATAAATCAATAAAGTAGATTTTAATCGCGTTATATGTATGTATACCACGTGTACGTCGATAATAGAAAACATTCGAGCAACGTAAAATTATTATACTACCGTGTTCACTCTGGCAGTAATATTTTTTTCAATTCCCTGCTGATTGCACACCTAAAGGTGGCTTTTCGTTTGCTATTTAGATACGTAATCGTGTTCGTGATGTCAGCAGAAGCAACTAGTATTAACTCTTGATTGACTTAACCACAAGCTCTGGACCGCAAAATCCATTGGCCGCTAAAATTCTTGTGGTTAGGTCCACGTTATATGTACCTTAACGATGGACGGAACAGGCAAAGAACGTACAAATCTCGCAAAACTGTTCCTCCAAAGAAACTTTCCGCACTTATCACTTTCCGTACGAAAGACAGAGGAGAAGGAGGAGGAGGAGGAGGAGGAATGAAGTTTTTCGTTACCCTTGTTAAAAAGTACCACGTTAGGTGGTCGTAAAGCCGAAAATGATGGTTACGTGATATTGCACATCGCCAGATATGCGCATCGTTTCTATCCGAACCGTATATTTTACATAAGTACATACATACAGGGCCGCCCGCGTTTATACTTCTCGAGACCGTAGGCGCAAGCAACATCGTTACAAATTTTTTCTTTTTAAGTTTATTCTTGAACAATGATTTATTCTTAATAAGATAAAAATAACGCAACATTGGTATACATAGCCAAACGTTTTATCGGCCGGGAATGTCCTTGCAGATACTCCAAGGGACCTACACGGGACCTACCCGAGCTGCATAGGATTTTCTGAGACCCTTCTAGACGATATGTTTTTTATGTTGTTTGTGAGGTTATAAAATCTGCCCCCCTAAGAGTGAGCTTGCGCCTAACGCGCCTTATGATAAATGCGACCGACCCTGCATACATGGTGTGAAAGTGATGTAAGAAGCAAGAAACTCCCATCCTTGATAAAACTAAGACTTACCCAGTACGTCCGAATTGACTAGAACGCTGCAGCTATACATGGGTGTGACTAGTCGAGGATGTCTAGAATTAAACGCACGTCGACAAGCTTCTTTGCATGCTGACATCAAATGACCACTCAGGTGTCCTTGATTTTGCCCGCTGTTTTCACTAACGACACATATACAATTTTTCCCTTAATTAATATTTCATACTCCCACTTCTTTGAACGAACGAAAGCGAAATGGAACGAAACGAAATGTAAAAGTGTAGGAAAGGAAAGGATGAAGACATATAAGTAAGTACGTAAGTATGTATACATATGTACCTTTGGTAATCTTGAGAAATTTCCCACTTCTTCAAGACAAAGCAGACACCCATCATAGGCTCTTCGCACAAAGGTCCGGCAAGCGTTGCCAATTGAAAGCCGTTCACCATACTGCTTTCGTATCTGGTACACATCAGAAATACTGTTACGCGCTTTAATAACATAATACCCCGCGATAATAACATGTTACACGTATCATAATGCAGTCGAAAAATTGAACCTGTCACAGCTATTATCGCGATAAATCGAGAAAAATCGTGTTTATAGTAATAATTAACGATAGTAGCTTCTACGAAACTACCCACTAAACAGTGCTGATGTTGAGAGATACTCACGGAGCACGTAAATCTGCAGACTTTGTGTGTCTCTTCCAAAATTTTCTTTGCTCGTAATCGGTTTCGTTTAAGAAAATATTAGGACCGCAATTCCGTGGCCCGAACGACCATATTTTATCCAACATGTCCTCTTGATCCGCTTCTCGGAACGCAGTCGCCAGTTCGGTTTTGAACGATTCCAACGCCCTTTCTTTTCTCTCGGACATCGAATGCGAGAATTCCGCAACCTGGTGGTTCGTAGGTGGTTTTCCACTACTTTCCTCTTCCCTTTCCGAACCCGATTTACCGTAATGATGATAGAACGCTTTTATCAGATCCACGTTCTTTTCCAAGATCTTGGTCACTTTGTCCGGCAAAGGTCTCGCGTCTATTTCAAAGTAACACTGTCGATTCGGTGTCCAACTGCCGAAATGAACGTCCTCCAGTTTTTTTTTCTCTTCGATCGCCTCGTTCACCATATCGACTTTCGGGGGAGGCACCACCGTTTCTCTAAAGGGCACGATCGGTTCCGATACGTTTACGTCAACCTTGGCATACCGTAACTTCAAATCTTCCAAGCATCTTTCCAAATGCACTTCCCCGGCGGTGCTCAGTACAATTTCCCCGCTTTCTTGAATACGAACAATCGCACAAGCGTCCGCCTGGTTCAGTAATTTCAGCCCGTTGATCAGCGGTTGCAAATCGTTGGGATGTTTTGGCTCAAGGGCTACGTGCATTATAGGGACACCGAGCGATGTCAACTCGGAAAAGGACGGACAGGCGACGGTGCTTGAAAGAGTAGCTGTTTTTAACACGTGTTCCTCGAGCTCGCCGATTCCAAATACATTACCAGCAGTCACCTTTTCCGTGGGTTCTAATTCTCTGCCCATTAAAAGGTACAGTTTTTCTATGGTCACTTTAGTTATATACCTTCCAGGCTTCAAATCTTTCAGCGTCGTGCTTTCGTTCTCTACCGGTGGCTCGCCCGCTCTCTGGCGTTTCAATACTTCCCGGGGATCGTGTTTTGGTCCTAGAACGTACACGGTGCTTCCTATTCTCAGTGTTCCAGAATATATTCTGGCGAACGCTATCAACGCAGTTTCCGAGCTTTCTTCTCCCTCTTCGTTCGTCATACTTCTATTCACGTTTTCTTCTTGCGCACTTTGAACGGTGGTGTTGTTCACGTTATGTTGCGCCGTCGTCGTTGTCGTCGTCGTCGTTGTCGTCGTTGTCGTCGTTGTCGTCGCCGCCGCCGCCGCCGCCGCTTCTTCATTCATAATTCTTTCCGCGTGTTTCATTCGTGCGATTAATCTTCGTTGAACCAATTCTTCCGGAGTCAGCGGTTTCGGTTTATTCTCAGGTAACATTTTCTTTTCCACTGGGAACATCTTTGAAATGAAGACAACGACAGGGGAATCTGGGGATGGATCGCAAGCTAAAAATGTGTCTTTCAATTGTTGCGTTTCCTCTGGCAACGTGGAGAAATCATAATTGCCACTTAACAAACGTTCTACCTTTTCCGAAGTTAAATGATGCGGTGCAGGAACGTTTTCGCATATGGCGTCGAGACATGCGCAAGCCAATGGTAGCCACTGAGAGCAAACAGCTTGTAATTGAGCCTTACAATCCGTATGCCTCAAATCTCTCGTTGTTAACTTAATGTCTAGTTTCTCAGCCATCGTGGCCACTTTTTCTTTGTCCTTCCGTGCAGTTATCGTTTCGTACAAAGTCCAAAGATTGTCCAAAATAAGTTGAACGAATAAGGGCTTCTTTGCTTTCTCCTGAGCTCCCTTCATTATCCTTTTTTTCTTGCTGTTCACGTAATAGTCTCCCCAAAGCGTTTTCGACAAAATTTTTTCGTTGAAGCCTAATTTGATGGAAAATATCTTGGCAAATTCTTTCACGCCAAATCCCCAACCATCGGTTGCACTGGAAAATAAAACGTTACCTTGGTCCGGAGAAAAGTATAAATTAGAATCGTCCATCTCTTCCAACGCAGACTGCCAGTCTGTTAGATTCCTTTCGGATACACTTTCGCTACTTTCCTTTTTCAGTTCTTCCTTTTCTTCACGTTCCATTATGTCACTGGCGAATAACTCTCCCATTACAGCATTGACCTGCTCCAAAACTTGAGTCAAATGCACGTAAGCATCCAACGGAGACAATTTCATTTCTGTGATTAATCTGTCAATTTTATTCAATACCAAGATTGGTTTTAATCCTTCCATGTAAGAGATGGACAAAGCGCTACGTGTTTGTGGACATACACCTTCTACCACATCTATCACGATAATGGCCCCGTCGCAAAGTCTAACAGCAGTTGAAACTTCCGAAGCGAAATCTACATGGCCTGGAGAATCTATTACATTAATAGCAAACTCTTGACGGTTGTACTTGTGATAGAGAGTAATCAAGCTGGATTTCATGGTAATTCCTCTAAGTTGCTCGTCTGGACGACTATCCAAGTATCGTAGTTTACCGGCAAGTTTACCAGAGATGATTCCATTGCTAGCAACGAAAGAATCAGCCAAAGTAGTTTTCCCATGGTCGACGTGAGCTAATATACAAATGTTTCGAATATTAGCTGGGTTACTTTGAATTTCGTTTAATTTTTCAGGACTGACGAGACGCATTCTGTGATCAATTTGTCAATGAACGTAAATAATATAAACGTTCTAAGCATTAACACGTGCAAGTAGAGAATACGAGAAGGACACGAAACTGAAACGTTAAGGCTCGTACGATAAACGACAGCGTGAAATTTATCGAAATGAACGAAGAAGAAACGGCGGTAAGCACAGCACGTCGAGAAAATCAAGTCCCAACGTACAATATTAATATACTTTGGCAGATACCGATGCACCTATGAATATACTATATACTTGTAAAAGGTAATAGTAAACACTATTTCACTTTATTCTGTTTCCACAGTACGTAACGTTCGACAAACACAAGAATATATCGTAACCTTGTTGACATCGTCTTCGTCGTCCACAGCATACCACTTGTTTCAGTCGCTTAATCAGCAACGTGAATAGATTATTGGTCAACAATTGACCGTTGTAGCTGTTCTTTCTCCTGTTAATCTCTGCGAACATATATTCGTTAAAGGAAAAACCTGCTTGACACTTTTTCTTATCCTTGCAGGTTAGGACCATTAATGAAATACCGGTTCGCCTCCTGATTCACTTTTCTTTCAATTCCTCTTCTTACAACGGAACACCGTTTCCCCACTCTTTACGGAAAATGAATTTTCTTTTTATCGATGCATCGTTTGAAAAACTTGAGCAGAAAATGGTAAACGTATCGACGATTTAGCATGCAACGAACATCACGTAAGTGCCTGTAACACACATGTGGCAACTGCTCGAATTGCTTTTATCTCGTAATTTTCGTTTCGTCAGAAGGCAAATTTTTTTCGTTCGAAGATAAGTGAAATTCACCGGCAATTACGTTATTCGAAACCGGATCGAAATTGTATCGAAACTTTCTAGAAAAGAACTTGAGATACCAGACATGCGTTATTCACTCGTGTTACGACGAACGCACATGCGTACAAACTCGCGTTTTACGCCATCTCTGATTATTCTCGTTATCAAAGAGAAGAAAACGCGTGTATACTGTTTGATATGATAAACGACGAGAGACCCGGTTCGAGGGTTATTTCTATTCCATTTTTCCTTCTTTCTTCCTTTCATTTTCTTATATATAGATGCATACATACATACATACATACATACATACATACATACATACATACATATATACATACATACGTACGTACGTACATGTACGAGTTTCAATTTACTAGACGTGATTCAATTGACTGCGATAATATTATCTTGTATAGATAAGTTGGTTCGCTTCTTTATCAATTTGAGTAACGATAAGTGACATATGTACATAAACTTAACCAAAAAATCAAATCTTTTATTGTATAATACGTATGTATGTAGTTATGTATCTTTTGTATGTACTCTTCTCGCTTCTCTTTTATATTTACACGTTTATTTATTTACTCATTTATATTATACACAGTTCCATATACACAGGGCTTTTCTTGCTCTGTTAATTTTCTGTGGTAATACAGCAGGTATTAGAGATTTTTCTTGAAATTATACTTGTTTGAATTGTCGCGAAGATTCCTACGATTTAGCCATATCTAAAGAGCATTGAAATTTCCTTTATTTTCTTTGGAGTAAAACGAAAGGATATAAATAAATACATATGCAATATAAATGGCTTTCGAGGAGATATTTTCAGTAGAAAGGATTAGTTTTCGTGTGAAAATGAAAAAGGATAAAATAAAACGGTCACATGCATACTTAATTTTTCTTGATAACAATTATAAATAGAAAACATGCTGTATGTACAAACGATTTAACAATTTAACTAAAGAAAAGAGTTATCGAAAGACATAAAAGGCGACATTTTCGACCCATTAGCGTACAATGTAATTTCATTAACAAGTAGAACGTTCGACTTGAAATTACACGTAGGATCGCTTATATAGGATCCCATGGGGATGTGTTTCACTATATAAAGTATTTTCATATCCACTACCGTAACTGAAGGAAGAGAGCATTATCTGTGAAAAAGGTTATTTGGCAGAAAGCGATGGCTCTTTCTTTAGCGAATCTATTTCTCTATTTTTCTTGGCCAAGGCACGATTTCTTATGGTACACATGGTTCTCGAGATTAACCACAGCGCTCCTTTCTCGCAAACGCAACGTAATCCGTGGACAAAACCGGTCATGAGCAGGTGCGGAGGGTAGCCGGTTGTACAGGCTTCGAGACCGATCGTTTTTAAAGAAGCCTCTACGAATTTCTCTGCCGTTGGTGCCATCCATGTCGGTTTTCTGAAATGAAAAATGAAATATTTATATGTTTACATACATATATGGCTCCTCCGTATGCATATTCAAGATGGGAAGACAATGAAACGGAAGTCGCTTACTTGATCTTTGACATCTTGGTGGCCACCGGGCCAGGAGTGACGCATTGAACGGTCACTCCGTTCGGTTCGGCTTCTGCGGCCAAATCGTAACTGAGTTTCACGATGTAGGCTTTGCTTGCGGCATATACCGCTAAATAAGGAGCTGGTATCACTGCTAACGCCGAACCGATATTTATCAAAACTCCTTTCTTGCGGCGTAACATTTGAGGGAGAAGGGCCCTCGAGATTCCTGTTACCGCCGCAACGTTTAGCTGCAAGATTGTCGCCAAACGTTCTTCGGAGATGTTGGTGAAGAGATCCGGATGGTCGTAACTAGCCCCGGCATTGTTCACGACCACAGCCAACTGTCGAGAACGGTAATTTCCAGATCGTATAAATAAACAAATAAATAAATAAATATATAGGTATGGAGGAGGAGGAGGAGAAAAGAAGGATACCTCAAGCTCCTCGGTGGCTTTAGCGACCTTGGAGTAAACCGCTTGTCCCTCGGTCAAGTCAGCTTCCACGGTTCGAACGTCGACTCCGTAGCGTTGCTTGATCTCTGCAGAGACCTCCTCAAGTTTGGACTGGGACCGTGCAACCAGTACGATGTCCAAACCCTTGCTGGCGAACTGTTCCACGTACGCTTTTCCAATGCCACTGGTAGCACCTGTGATCACTGCCCAGCTGCCCTGCGACCTCAGGTTGATGCCGAAACCGAAGCTGGGTCCTATCAGTTTTTTCCATACGAGAAGGCTGACTCGTAATAAAATTCGTAGTCCAATCGCTGCTAACGCGACCAGCGAGATTTTTTCCCAACACGTCAACGTCATCCTGGAAACGATGGAAAAGTGAACTGGCAGCAGCAAGTTCCGTAATTGTTTTACCGCGCCGCGACACGATTACACGATTTTAACTCTAGAATAGCCGTAAGCGCGCGCCTCTATCGATATCGTATAAAAGTGTATGCTATTTGCCGCACGAGTGTGTTCCTTCGAATTGCCACCACTATTCTCCCCCCGTCTGCGATAACGCGCGATCGACCAACTTGCCAGGTTATTACCGATTACGCTGATCACGGTCGAGACATTGTCACGACCTAATGTCACCTTATGACGCGACGGCGATAAAAATGTTTTTTACATTAGCTAGCCTTTTCTATGCAAAATCTTTTTCTTTCTTGCATATTTAAGTATCTGTTCCACGATAGATAGATCTAAGTATCGCACGTACGTACAAGGAAAAAATAGAACCGAAAGTTCAGCAGCACGACGAGCAGCACCAACTACTTACATACATACGTACAGAGTATTGCCAGTGGAAGGACTAATGCCTGTACTTAATCATCTTTCGATAGAAAGAAAGACTAATTTACTTATTCCTAGGACTTTCTTTCCAAGTGTACATGTTTACTTTTGCATACCGGGAATGCATAATACCGAGTCGTTATCGAACGAGTCGGCGCATGTGGACACGTGAATGTTAATAAACCGTGCAATTGACGCTACTCGGTTACCTAACGATGCAAATATATCAGCGAAACTACATATTTGGATAAGCGGACAAGGAGAACAGAGTAAAAACTCTGTACGTTGTTGGCCGGTTTTTGGAATTTCTCGGAGAGATCGATATGCATTTACCTGTATTCGATATCACCGAGATTGATCGTTCACGTGAATGATGGTGGTGGTGGTGGTGGTGTTTCTCTTCGGCAGGATAGAAACGCTGTCGCAGCCTCGAAACGATTACGTTCATTAATGGAGATGCTTTTGAAACGGAGGAGGATCGACGCACTCGCGGCTATGCTTCTTGTGCACGAGAACTGTTCGAAACGGACGAGTCGAAAATAGTTGACCCGGAATAGCGGAGAGAAGTGAACGACCAGGTGGCTAGAACCGAACTCGGATCGCGGAAGAGAATCAGGAACAGAGAGTAGGAAAGGAGAGAAAGCGGAAAAGGGTTGAGAGAGAGAGGAAGACGGGGAGCGGGGGTAAAGAGAGAAGGAGCACCACGGTCGATCGTAGCGGAAAGAACGTCGTTGCGGAGTTTGCGCGGGCGCGGGCGCAGACCGCGGATGTGAATTTACACGAAGGCGAAGGAGGCAATGTCACGGCTAGGCTATCCCAGAAGAAGAAAGTCGTCGCGCCGCGGAAGTAGGAGAGGGAAACGGTGAACTTTTTCTTTGACACACTTGGCTCGATACTCTCGTGTAACGTGTACCCTTTTGAAAAAGTGGAATACATACCGCAGTAGCTCTCTCCAATTATGTTGCTCCTACGAATACCTACATACGTACTTAGATAATAAGTGGACAATAAGTGATATCGTTTGAAAATTACACGAGTTTCTTTCTCTTTTTTTCTTCCTTTTTCACTTCTTTACATTTACCTGGGCATTTAGGTTAATACAATATATTCGTTGCCGAAAGTCGGTTGCGTTCGCGAATAACTCTGGAAGATTTTCTTTCGAAAAGTGAAATAGACGTTGCTCAAGTACGTAAATCGTCAGTTTTGATCAACTTCTCCGACTGATCGGGGTTAATCGTGCTCCCCTTGGTTCCCGTTTTAACCACACGTCGGCCAATTAGCATGGTAGCATTACGATCCGCTTGATGCATAGTTTGGAGGTGAAAACGTCTCCAGAGCAGAGCGTTCGTGTCCACGGATTTCGTCCAATCCTGCCATTCTCCGCGAGTGACCATCCGCTTCTCACTTTCCATTTGGAATATCTGTTCGATCACGGTCCGCAACCATACGTTCCAATCCTTGGCGACGTCGCTAATGTACTCCAGCCATCTGGTCCAGTCTCGAATTTCTTTCGACTCTACCTCCGGCATGTACTGTTCCATGAACGCCAGCTGCGATTTACTCAGAATCGATCTTAACCAATTCGCCATCTTTCCGCACACTACGTTCACAACGGTCTTCAGTTCGTCTGTTAAGAGATCCGGATCTTCCAGCATCACGATATTGGTCAACTTATCGTAAATTGCCCGATGTATTCCGTTCGTTATAGGATCTTCGCCTGTATTTTCCGGCGAACTTTCGATCATCTTGTAAATAGTGTCGATAATTTTGTCGAACGTGAGGAAAGGAAGGTCGGATTTAAGTAACTCCTCCAGACCCTTCAGAATCTCGCTTTCTTTCGGAGGTCTAGCTTCTACTCTGCTTGGAACTTTTTCTTTCGGTACCTCCACCACTTCTTCAACTTCTTCTCCTGCTCCTACTTCCTCTCCTTCTTCTTCTTCTTTCGGTACCTCCACCACTTCTTCAACTTCTTCCCCTGCTCCTACTTCCATTTCTAACTCATCCGTCTCCATTTCTGCTAACGCTTCCACTTCTGCTTCTTTTTCTCCTTCTGCTAATGCCGCTACTTCTGAGGCAGAAAGCAAGTCAACTTGCGATTTTTCCTCTATATCTTCCACTATGTCAGCCGGTGGTGCACCCGTTGCTTCTACTTCTGTTTCCCTAACTTCCACAGTAGCTTCTACTTCTGCTTCAACTTGCTCTTTCTCTTCCGTTTGTATCTCGGTTTCTACTTGTATTTCCGGTTCCGCTTGAGTCTCCGTTTCCATCTCGACCGTTACTTCTATTTCCTCCACGTCCTCTTCTACCTCTACCTCTACCTCTACCTCGTCCGATTCAAGCCCTCCTCCTCCTTCTCCTCCTCTTCCTCTTCCCCTTCCATCGTTCCCAATTCCTCGTATTTTCTTCCATCTTTGTCCTCGTCCTCCTCTTCCTCCTCTTCCTCCTCTTCCTCCTCTGCCGCTTCCAGATCCGCTCTCATCTCCTCCTCCTTCTTTCTACATCGTTCCATCAGCTTTTCCTCCTGAGATTGGCCAACCTCGGACAGCACTTGAGTCACCCAGCAAGATATCAGATCGGCCAAATAACGGATCTGTTGCGATTTACGGTCTTCGGTTCCCAAAGGACTGTACTCGAGTACGTCCGCTAAACGTTTAACTATCACTTGTGCGACATCGTTCAACTCCGACTTTCCAAGGGAACATTTCCATTGAAGGATACTTCGGACGAACCGCTCGGCCATCAGGTACTGACAAGAAACTGCATCTCTGTCGAAAGAGCCCGTGAAAGAGCTCGCAACCCCGGTACTCGATCTTCTCCCCTTTCTCGCCTCTTTATAGTCCCACTTCTCCCTTCTCCCTTCTTTTTTCTTTCCCCGGGACTTCCTCTTGCGCGAGATCGTTGCAGCTTGTCTGCGAACAATATTTAACTCCGTTCCACTTTCGGACTCGAACTCCTCGCCTTCGATCGAACAAGCGCGAAAGAAAAACTGGAAAAGAATATGCAAAAGGATACGTTACTCGGGTGTTAAGCAAGTCTCGTCCTCGACTGTCCGAACGAGATTGTCCAGAAGAGCTGGTGGTAATATCGACGCGCCTTCTTGCAACGTTATCAACATTCGATGTCTCGTTGGTTGAGCCAGTTCTTTAATTCGTGGCGAGATAGCTTTCAACTTCCTCAGTACCGTCTTTTTCTCACAGTCCGGTGGGCATTTGCGGCTGTACGGGAATATTCCATCTTTCACCTACGCTAATTTTCATTCTCGATTTTCCTAACCTCGGTGTTGCCAACATGTCGATGTAAGCCTCTTTCGTTAAACAATGCCTAGGTATGATGTCCAATTTTGGAAATGTGCACGTTTTCCCAGCCACCGGGACCATTGCAAACTTTTCAGACTTTTTCTTTCTTCCACCTCCTCTCCTTTCACAGCAATCTCCGTTTGACTTTTCTGACTGCGGCCCAAAAAATTCTTCGTAAAACCACTAACTAACCGATAACTGATATAATAATCATCTGCGAGACGTGCATTGTCGGAAACGACAATCTAACCGAGGAAAAATAGGGAAAAGAAAAATATGTATTTCGAACGATTGAAAATATTCAATTCGCCTTAGATTTCTTCGAAACTGGTTCTTTGCAGTGTTCCCATCTTTTCTTTTTCTCCACTAGTCGCGGATATCCTTCGAACGTGTCATCCTTCTGTCCTCTCTTTATTTCACGCTCCACCGATGTAGCTCGCTTAACGTCTTTCGGAGAATCGTCATTCTTTTCCATAACTATTTCTTCTAACGATACAATATACATACATACGATGTACGCAGTTCTCTTTCTTAATTTCAAACACCGAGGAAATAAGATTTCTATACCTTCTTTTCGTTCCTCTCTTATATCGATATTCCTTTTCTTTCTTTCTCGCCAAATGCTAATCCCAGCTAATGTTCAATCGCAATCTGTCAATCGAAGATAATGTTTCGGTATTCGGTTCTATTTCTATTCTTTTTGATCTTTCGTTGTATGCTGAAATTTTTGCTCGAGGTTCAGAAAGCGAATGTTAAAGTTGATCCATTTCAAACATTTTTTACATTTTACCGAATACCGTTGAATACGGTAGGTTAAAAGTGGCAAGTTAAAGAGATCTACAATTTTGTTTCCGAATCGTTGTTTTTCATCCCGCTCGATACATCGTGGATTTCATACAGTACATCGTCTGAATTTAACTACATTTTCTGCAGCATTACCTAAATACAATCTACCATATAGAAAGTAACATAGTAACAGTTATCTACCTTGCCTGTGGTGGTATTACGGTGAATAAACAGCAAATGGTAACCATCGCAGAGGAGATATATTGTTGGCAGAAACAACGTACAGCGTACAGGATAGACCTAACATATTTGTGTCCGCGGCACTGGGGCCTAGAAGACCCTTACCATTTTCAATCGTTCCCAACCTTACCGATCCAGCGTAGAATAAGAACGCAACGTTAGCAGCAGTAACAAATAAGAAAGAAACGTAATTGTTTATCGGTAGATGTTTCGTCACGTGTGCGTGTTCCACTGCTGTTGAAATCTCGTGAACAGTTCTACCCCAGCAATTCGATATATGTACTTAAGTACTTATGTAGTATCTTTATATGCAAATTTAATAAAAGAGGATTTTTTACATCTGTCCACATTACCATCTTCGATGGTTGAAGTGTATGTAATTCCTAAACTCACCGCTTTATATCGTAGAGGGCGTAACAAAAATTCTGATTTTGTCACACGATCGGTATTTCAGAACGTTGGACAGAAGAATACATTGGTTAGGTCAGAACTGCTCAAGTACACCTGACTATTGTTATTCACCTAAGCAGTACAACCAAATAAATATTTTAAATTTATAATTTATAATAATTTGCATAATTT